TACAGGCGCGCGCCACCACACCCAGATAACTTTTGTATTTTTAGTAGAGACGGGGTTTCACCATGTTGGCCAGGATGGTCTCGATCTCTTGACCTCGTGATCCGCCCGCCTCAGCCTCCCAAAGTGCTGGGATTACAGGTGTGGGCTACTGCGCCCGGCCGGATTCTTACAATAGTACTTAACCACATGCCCTCGTGGCCCCAAAGTAACTAATCACAGATATTTTTCAAAAAGGATGAAAGCACTCTGGTACGTGGCAGATCATAGTTAAGTAAGCATCTGGTGTCATAGTCCAGCAATACCCTGAGTTTATGGAAAAGTGTCTACGGAAACAAATAAGTGTATATAGTTCAAGTTAAGTGGTTCAAAAATCTCGTTCGTTATTCTCTGCCATGTACACAAGCCTCGGACTCTCTAATTCCAAGGAAAAGTATCCTTGGCCTCTGAATTCTGTAAATTTTGTATATTAAGGGAGGGCTGTCCTTGGCAACCAGAACACATTATTGTCAGGCTGCAAATGCCTTCCACCCTTTTGCCAAAGTCCCCTAACAGGGCAGGCTCAATTCCTCAACCTTCAGACCCGAAACGGCTTGGTATTACACAACAATCCAACAAGACAGCAAATACGTATGTACGTTGGAAGAGATTACACCACTTTTATACTTAGTAGGCTGGAGCCACTCATTTCTCAGCGGAGAGGGTTAGAACTGAGTAATGAAGGTGAATCCCGAGGAGTCCAGGAATAGCAGATTCACTGACTCTCTGGGACTCGGGCTGCCAAAAATAAAATCCCAGTACTGGGGGATCCGATCAGTCTTGGTGACCAGCACTAGGCAGCTTCAACCTCGGGTGCCTGAAAGTGATGGGTGTCCAGTGGCATAAGTCTTCTTTGATACCCAGTCCTCTGGACCAACAAAACGGAGGTCCGGTATGACTGTCACCTGAGAAGTGGAGTCACCCTTCTACCATCTGGCTAAGCCACAGGAACCTGAGAAAATCAAGGGGTGCTGCCAGGTGCCCGCCCCTCCCCGAATCCCCGACGTTGTCGCGAGTCCCGCGGGACAAGGACAGAAGGAAAGTAGCCACAGTGTTGAGGTCCCAGCCCCAGGCTCCTCACCCAACAAAGTTCAGTCATCTGGTGCACCAACTGCTGGAAGCGCTGCTTTTGAGTCTCTACCTCGATGAAATGCTGCAACTGCGGGTCCACTGCACCCAAACCCGCCGCGGAGGAAGAGGAGGAGGAATCCATCCCAGGGCGACCACGCTTGCAGAGACGAACTCTGTACCAACTAACCGACCTTCACGTGTCTCCGCGACGGAACCGGAATCACAGCTCGCTGCCTCCGGGACCGCCCCGTGAGTGCGCTGCGTCTGCGCGAGGCCGGCGCTCACGTTCACCACGCCGCCTCCTATGCCGCGGCGCCGGCGCTGCGCTGCGCTTCGCTGCGCTCCGCTCCCCAAGCTGGCGGATCAGACTCCCTGAAGCCTGCAATCCCGCAACCCCACAGCCCTATGGTTGCGCCCAGGCTTGCGTCTTGAGATCGCAGGGCTTGCACCCCAGAGCCGAGGTGCTATTGAGATGTTATTCCAAAAAGAAAAGAAAGGAGAAAAGGAAGTTACCTCAGACCACGTGGTCCATTCCGGGCTGGCCCAACAGCTCCGCCCCTTTCCACTTCCAAATTGGCCCGCGTTTTCTGAGCTACCCGGGTTGTGCGCTGACCGGACAGCTGGGCCGGTTAGTTAGTTATCCTGGTCCCCGGCTTTCGTGGGGTTTTGTTTGTTGTTTTGTTTTTATTTTGTTTTTTTTAGATGGAGTTTCGCTCTTGTTTGCCAAGGCTGGAGTGCAATGGTGTGATCAGCTCACTGCAACCTCCGCCTCCTGGGTTCAAGCGATTCTCCTACCTCAGCCTCCCGAGTAGCTGTGATTACAGGCATGTGCCACCACGCCCAGCTAATTTTTGTAATTTTCTTAGAGACAGGGTTTCACCATGTTGATCAGGCTGGTCTCGAACTCCCGACCTTAGGTGATCTGCCCGCCTCAGCCTCCCAAAGTGCTGGGATTACAGGCGTGAGCCACCGCGGCCGGCCTGCTTTCGTTTTTTGATGGAGTTTTCCTCTCCCGACACAGGGAAATGAACCTCTGGCAGAGTTTGTGCCCAACTTTCAGATTCTAATAACATGGTATGCTTGCTGTGAGGAGGACTGTTTTGGCTTAATGCATCTCTGATTCAGAGGCATGAATTAACAGGTGGGCTTAAACGCGGAAGATCCTGTCTTCTCAGTTTAGGAATTTGCCAAACTAATGCCACAAAGCAGCTTTCTGGAATACTGAGATAGGGTGCTTCAGAGGGGCTCTATTATTAATACAGCTACCAAAGACTTTCAAGCTTTCTAGTAATTTTATTTTATCAAAACACCCTCCCATCCCATTTTTATGACACCATTTCATGCTTGCCAAATTCTGCCCTCCCCCACACACACCCCCAAGCTCTACCAAATGCCTACTCAAAGAGCTGTTGCACCCCTTCGTGCGACTATTTACATCCTCCCTCCTAAAAAATGTTTTCATCCCAAATTCAGTCTGTCTTAATTCTCTCGGGAAATTTCAGGCACAATAATTTCTTGGCCTTTGCTCAGAAGCCACTATCCCAGGGAATCAAAGAAGAGAGGCATTCCCAGATGTAGAGAGGGGTCTTTGTGTATTCAGTGGGAGCACAAAGTCTCCAGGGCTCCTAAGCCTGGGATTTCCTCTGAAAAAGTGGAACTGGGGCTTGTGGAGAAGTGAAGTAGAACCAAGAAGCTTATTGGCAAGCTCAGGATTCTTCATCCATGACATCTAAAATATTGCTCAGAAGAATTTTGAAAGTGGGACGTTCATCTGCTTTCTAAAACCAAAGAAAAAGTAGTGTTAGAGTGGCTAGAATCCACAATTCAAGTGAAATGCAATGAGTAAACAGCAAATGCTTATTAAATATATGCTCTATGCCCAGTAGCATACCCTGTCAATTACAAAAAAAAAAAAAAAACCCAGAAAGAAAAGAAATAGCAGCTCTCCATAAAGTCTTTGTACACTTTTTGTCTTTAGTAACTCAGGTTATTAGTGTGATAAGAACAATTTGCAAATTAAACTGATAATCACATTGATCAAAACTGAGGGCAAGTTCATTATGTAACTGTACACAACAGATTCTTATTTTGGATCCTTAAGTGAAAAATTGCTACTAAACGAGTTCAACTGGTTGGCAGAACAGAAATCCCATGTGATAATTTTTAGTGACTAATATTTCAAAACCACAGGCCATATCACTGAGCAGGGATTCTGAGTACCTGGGACCTTTTCTTACCACTGTCTGGCCTCCAGACTAAAGTTGTTTTTTTTTTTTTTT